CAGTCACCCCCAGAGAGACGCCGAGCCCAAGGTCACCCGGCAGGCGGGCGCCGGCTCCGGCTGCCAGCCTGGCCCCAGCCGCACGCGTGTGCAGGGCTGGGAGGAAGCGAGGATGTGGTGAGCGCTCCTGCCGGTCCCGCCCGCCCGCCGCCTGGGCTCCGCCCCCAGGGAGTGAGAAAGAGGTGGGAGGGGGCCGTCTGGGCCGGCGCCAAAGGTCACCGTCACCTGCTAGAAAGACATTTGGGGCCACCAGGGTGACGTCTGCCCCTTGAGGGCAGGTGACATCCCCACAAGCCTCGTAGTCACGACCCATTAAAGCAGGCAGCGTGGTGGTTAGCCACTGCTTCTCACAGATGTGGACGCCGAAGCCCAGAGGTGTGAGTCCAGCAGCCCCAGCTCAGAGGAGGGCCAGAGACTCACCCCAGCGCCAGGGAAGCCCCTCTACCAGAGCGGGCAGCCAGGCCTGTCTGCTCGGGAGCCCCTGCTCTGGCTTGACCCACCTCCTGGGGGCCAGCCTCCTGCTGCAGTGCTTCAAGTAGCAGGGCCTTATCTCCTGCCCTTAAGAAGAAACCCCTTGGGCATGTTACATCACCTCTCTGAATGCCTCATGGTGCCCTTCTGACACCAGGCAAAGGTCGTCCATTAATGCACAGGAGCTCAAGGATCTAGAGAAAGGAAATTCTCAAGATAGTTTCTGTTTGACAATTTTGCTAACAAGCCAGGGGCTCTTGAGAGGGTCAGATATCTCTGGCAGACTTTTCGGGTTTGTTTGTTCATTTGTTTTTAATTTGCCATAGGGAGTGTGCACTTACCAGAGAGAGAGATGCAGAGACAGAAAGAGAGAGACAAAGAAAACACCCTTCTGTGGGGCATGGTCATGTCGCAATCTCTTCTCCATTCTCCACATCCTACGATGATTCTGGGGACTCAAGCACACATGTTTTTCAAACCACTGGATCTGGGACTCCAACCGCAGAGGTTTACCACTGGCAAAATTCAACACACTCACGCCCAGCAGCCTCAAAAGGGAGCGAGGGAACTGCAGCCACGCCCTCGCATTGCTTAGGCATCTGTGTGATCTCACTGGTTCCACAAACCCTGGGAGGCAGGAAAGGTCAGGCCTATTGTACGGATGGGAAGACGGAGGCTCAGAGGGGTGAAACATCACACAAACCCAAACGAGTCAGTGCTGAGACTTGAGCCCAGATGCATTTGGGTCCCAAGGCTGCACTGAGCTGTGGAAAGGGGCCCAAGCCAGGATGAGATGCAGCCGGGCTGAATAGGAGATCGTTTTGCTGACACGGGTCAGCCCAAATGCACATGCTAATCTCCTCGTCAACTCATTTTTGGGAAACAGCTCTGGCCGACCCTCATGACCATTCCAGAGAAAAAGGAAAAAAGAAAAAAAATGTTTTTTGAGGAACGTGGTATAAATTCCCCTGTGGTTGATTTGAAGGATGTTTGCCCTGTAGAATTTCTTCTGTGATTACTGAACTGTCTCTTGTTTTCTGGAGAACAAGTCTTGAGAGGAAGCCAGGTTTTCTTTTTCTCTCTTGATCTTCAGGGTGAATTCTCGGATATCATGCGCCAGAATTTGCAGCGGTTGAAAGATCAAGAGAAGAAATAGTATGCTTAGTATTTGCTGAGAGTTCACTCTGAGCCAGTTATAAAGACTTTAAAGATGCATCATCTCACTTAAACCTGAGACTAACTTGAGATTATCATCATCGTCATCATCTTCCTTGTCCCTGTTCTATAGATGAACAAACTGAGACTCAGAGAGGTTAAGTGATTTGTCCAAGGTCACACAGCTTGTGAGTGAAAGAGTTGAGATTTGAACTCAGTCACTTTTACTTCAGAACATACTTCTCGAGAACTACATTGCTTCTGGGTATATGTTAACAAAGGATGTTTAATATCTCCTCCCGCCCTCTGGCCTGCCTGCCTTTTTCTCTCCCTCCCTCCTTTCTTCTCCCTTTCCTTTTCTCCTTCCTCCCACAATATTTATCCAGCAGACTCTTGGTTATGTACTGAGGATACCCCATAAAAATATGCACACCAGCCCAGCCAGATGGCTCAGTCCCTAAGCCTGCTGGACTGCAGTGCTGGAAGCCACATGCTGACCGTGGATTTGGATCCCTGGGTTGACCTGATGACATGCCTGGCACCAAAGATTCTGAGAAGCTGGAGGGCTGGGACAAGGAAATCACAATGTAGCGACCTTGTTGAGGGTGCTTACTCTCTCTCTTTCATCCTTTATAGTGTGCGTGTTTATATGCACTCTCTATTATTAAAAAAATAAAAATAAAATAGAAAGAAATATACACACAGTGACAGCCCTGTGGAGCCTACATTCTAATGGCAAGAGATAGACAAAAAGAAGTAATTCACAGACTAGATGCAAATTGAACTGTGTCAAGAAAACCATTGAGAGGGACCACCAGATGGCATAATGGCTATGTCGCTGGACTCCCATGTATTCAACCTTGGTTCGAGTCCCCGACCCAGTGACTTAAACTCAGGCCAGGCACTTGTGCGTGTGTGCCCAAGATCCCGAGAGGAGAAGGCATTGCGGTGTGGCCATCTCCCCGGGTGGTGATTTCTCACTTTCTGTCTCTCTGTCTCTGTCTTTCTAGTGAGCGCGTGTGCCCTACAGCAAAAACAAACAAACAAACAAACAAACAAAAAAAACATTGAGAGGTCAAGTTTGTAGCATTTAGGGACATGCTAGATAAGAGGGAACAAGCTGCAAGGGGACCATTTTAGACAGAGGACCTGTAAGTGCAAAGGCACTGAGATGGGAAAGAATGTGGCTTGAGAACAGGAAGGCGGAACAGATGAGTAAGCCAGTGAATAACTGCAGGTGGAATCACGCGAGGCACACCTCATGCGCAACATGCAAGACCCTGCAGGACCTAGTGAAGAAGGCAGGTTTTGTTCCAAGGAAAATGGGAAGTCACCTGTGTTTTTCATCAGAGGAGCGACACAGTCCGCTCTTCAAAAGAGCACTTAGGCTACAACCTGGGGAGCCCATGGAATCGCGCAGAAATCAGTCCCTTGATGTTTAAAAAAGTAGATGTCGGGGCCAGAAGGTGGTGTGGTGGTTAAGGCACTGGATTCCCACATGAGCAATTACAGTTCAAGTCCTGGACCTGACAGGTTGAAAATCACACCAGGTGCATATACATGCATACCCAAAATTCCAAGAGGAAAATGGAGGAGCATGGCCATCCCTCCTGGCGGCTGATTTCTCACTTTCCCTCTCTGTGTCTCTGTCTCTCTCTGGCAAGCACACTCACCCAAAGGCAAAAATCTAAAAAAAAGAAAAAAGTAGATTATCCAAATTGGAAAGGAATAAGTTGATTTGTTTCTATTTGCAAACAACATGCTCTTATATATCCAAACTATGTAAGATAATATAAATAAGTGAATATCCAAAATATATAAGGAATCAAACAACTCAGTAGCTAGAAAACAAATAACTTAATTAAAAAAGTGAATGGGGGTGCTGCAGGTGGTGTGGTGGTTAAGGTACTGGACTCCCACATGGCTGACTGTGGTTCAAGTCTCATCCCAAACTTGGTGGCTTGATTTCTCTCTCTCTCTTTCTGTCCCTCTCTGGTCAAACTAAAATAAACAAATAAAATAAAAATAAAGTTAAAAAAATAAAAAGTGGATGAAGAATCTGAATAGACATTTCTCAAAAGAAGATGTATAAATATATACAAAAAAAAAAGTTCAACATCAGTAATTATCAGGGAAATGCAAATCAAAACCACAAGTTAATATCTCCTCAGACCTATTAGACCAGATATAACCTAAAAGGCAAAAGATGGGTCCAGTAGTGGCACAGCAGTTATGTTGCTGGACTCCCACATGGTCAACCGTGGTTCGAATCCTGGACTGGTGGCTTGAAAATCACACTGGGTACATATACATGCATGCCCAAGATTCTGGGAGGGGAATAGAGAAAAAAGGATTGAGGCATGGCCATCCTCCCAGAGGGGTGATTTCTCACTTTTCCTCTCACTGTCTCTGTGTCTCTCTGTCTCTCTGATGAGCGCTTGCACCCTAAGGCAAAAAATCCTCTAAAAACAAAAAAAGACAAAGATAAATGTTGGCAAAGATGTGGAGAAAAGAGAACCCTTACATGCACACTTGTGGTTGGGAATGTAAATTAGTATAGCCATTATGGAAAACAGTATAGAAATTCCTCACGAAATTGAACTACCATGTAATCCAGCAATTTCGTTACTGACTATGTAACCAATGGAAATGAAATCAGCATGTCAAAGAGATATCTACACTCCCAGGTTGATTGCAGCATCATTCACACCAGCCAAGATATGAAATCAGGGATCAGCAGTTGGCATAATGGCTATGTCACTGGGCTCACCTGTAGTTGACTACAGTTGGAGACCCGGACCTGGTGGCTTATTCTCACGCCAGGGGCGTGTGCATGTATGCCCAAGATCCCGAGAGGAGACGAGAGGAGAATGAAGAAGGGATTGTGGAGTGGCCATCCCTCCTGGGGGGCGGGTGACTTCCGCTTTCTGTCTCTCTGTTTTTCTGGGGAGCTCATGCGCCCTATAGGAAAAACCTCTGCAAAAAAAAAAAAAAAAGAAAGATATAAAATCAATCTGTGTCCATAAATGAATGAAAAAATAAAATGTGGTATATATATGCAATGAAATACTATTCAGCCATAAGAAAAAGAAATCTTGTCATTTATGACAACCTGGATAAACCAAGAGGACATTATATTAAGTGAAATAAGCACAGAAAACAAAGAACCACAGAAAGACGAATACCACATGATCTCACTGACACATGGGAACTAAAAACATCGATCCCACAGAAGTAAAGA